TGAGCTTGCTGATACACCTTGAAGGTAGAGCCAATTGTGGGAGGTATCTGACAGCACAAGAAGACTGAAAGCCAGGCATTCTGGCCAGAGAACCAGGAGAAGAAACCCTGGGAGCCAGAGAATGTTGTAGAAATTTTGGAGAGGAGACAACTCAAAAAGGCAATCCCATAGATATGTGTTTGAAGTTCTAGGATCACTCCGAGGAGCTCATGTGTGAAACTGACATGATATAGAAGACCAAAGTCCATGGTATAGACCACCACCCAGGCCCCTTTAGCCCCCGGGGAGACACACAGAGAACAGATCCAAATAGGACTGAAAAGGTATGAAAACTGAAATTACATTGGAACCATGCATGGCCCACAAGCCAAGACTTTTGGCCTGAACCTAACAGGGACAACAAGCTGCGACACCCCAAAAAAGAGAAAAACTCAACATTCTCCAGAGGATTTGAACAAGCCTTAGAGTTTCATAACATAACAATTAAAACATCCAGGATATAAAGCAAAATTACTCAACATTAAAAAAATAATAATAAAACAGAGGCAAAAATAAGAAAATGGCAGCAACTCACAAGGGATAAAACAAACCCCAGTTTGAGATGACTCAGATGTTAGGATTACCAGAAGAAAACTCGATAGCTCAGTAGCAGAAAGGAAAAGAGGAAATTGTCTGTGAACTTGAAGAGCAATAGAAATTATCCAATCTGAACCACAGAGAGAGAACAATGAGATGATATCAAATAGTCTAACATTCATACATTTGAGAGGCAGGAGGAAGTGAGAATGAAATTAGTGCAGAAAAAAAAATTTGAAGAACAAAATTAGAGAATGCATACTACCCAATTTTAAGCCTCATTATAAAGCTGTGGTAATTGACACAGTGTGTTATGGGTGAAATCGTACACACGTGATCAGTGGAACAGCACAGGGTCCAGGAATAGACACAAATACAGTTAACTGGTTTTTGATAAAGGTGCAAAGTCAATTTAATGGATGAAGAATGCTCTTTCAGTAAGTGGTAGGGAAAAACAATTGAACACCCAAATGCAAAAACGAAACAAAACAAAACAAAACCTCTCTGTCCCAACCTCAAAAAAACCATGCAAACTATAAAACATTTAGAAGAAAACATAGAAGGAAATCTTTGTGGCCTTGAGTTCGGCAAATTGTTTTTAGTTATGATACCAAGAGGACAGTTCATAAAAGAAAAAAAACTATAAATTGGACTGCATCAAAACTTAATTTTTTTGTTCTGCAAAAGACACTCTTAAGAGAATTAAAACACAAATTGTAGACTGCTGGACAATGTTTCAAAATTGGACAAAGGAAGTGTACCCAGAATTCTCAAAAAAAAATGTACAAAGAGCTCTCAAAATTCAATAATAAGAAAAAGCCCAATTTAACAAATGGACAAAGGATTTGAAAGGACACTTTCTAAAAGATACACAGACGGCAAGTAAGCACAGGAAAAGGTGGTTACCATCATTAGCCATTAGGGAAATGCAAATTAAAATCACAATAAGATAACGTTACTTATCTAATAGAATGGCTAAACAAACAAGCCAACAAAAAATGGACAATAATAAGTGCTAACAAGGACAGGAAGCAACGAATTATCACACACTGTTGGTGGGAACACAATATCATATAGTTATTCCAGAAAACAGTTTTGCAATTTCTTATAAAGTTAAATACACTTGTATGATCCAGCAATCCTGCTCCTAGGAAGCTATTTACTCAGAATAATTGAAAACTTATATTCACACAAAATCCTATCAATGAATGTCTGGAGCAACATTATTCATAGTTGCCCAAACCTGGAAATGCCCCAAATGTTTCCGAATGGCTGCCTCAGCACAACGTGCAGTTCTATTGTATGACATCCAGGGGTTAGGTGTTGTCGGGGATTAGAGGCGAGGAGACATTCTGACTACAAAGGAGCGGCGTAAGGGAATTTTGGGGGTGATGGAGGTATTCTGTATCCTGATTACAGTAATGGTTCAATAGTTCTATGCATGTGTTAAAACTAATAGAATTGGACAC